GAAGTCTTATTGGAAGCTGGCGGTGGCTGTTTCAGTGCACTGGTAGGCACCAATCCCTCTGGCGGAGGTTCAGCTTGCCCTGGCGCAACCAGTAAACGCACATGGGTCCATTCTGTTGCGTTCACACCGCTAATGTTACTTCCATTTTCCAATACTTCTACTTGTTGACCTTTCGTTACCGTCAACTCCCTCGAGCCAGGTGCCGCCGAGTGATCCGCGATAACCCAAGTTACTTCGGCTACGCCAGTCTAAAATAACGTATCGAAACGATAAAATCTGATGGTTGGTATTGTAACCGTTATTCTTAGTACCGTCACCGTTAGTAACAACAATTTTAATCACCAACGAAAAAAACTTGTCAATTTCACAAAGAAGAATGAGAAGGATCTTTCAAACGTCTTTAATAAATTGAAAAGTTTCGACGTTGAAGTTGACAGGATTTAGGATGAAATAAAAAATACGGCCATGGATGAGATGCACAAAATCGGTGACACGAGTTCAAATTGGAGTCGGGCAAGTGGAAAGTCGGAGGGTGCGGAGACGAGCACGGATCGACAGAATGTCGAGCACCGCTATCTTTGCAGACCGATGGAGCGTTTAATGGATTACCGATGCTTCGCTGATTTCGATTTTATCGAAATAGCTTGTCTTTAGCGAAGACTCTGTACTTTCCGTAGTACCTACCGCGCAAGTATCATTCCCAAACAAACCGCGGAAAACGAGCAAATTGAAACTCGTAAAAGCCGTGCTTTCTGCCGACTGTCGTTTGTCGTATATATGTAATATACACGTATGTATATATCGTAGATACACAAGTATGACAAATTCTTCCTCGAAGCCATCGATTTGCTGGCGATAACAGTCGCCTGACACATCGTCCAAGATAAGTGTCGTACCCATCATCGTACGCGTGAAATCACACCGTGCGTAGCAGGAAGTGGTAAAAAGGCAGAACCACTTTGACTATCGAGTATTAATAGGCATCGACAGTCGTTTCTTTCAAGTGTAATTGTAATAGGTCGATTGAACTGCAGAGAATACCAAGAACCTCAGACGATGCCTCTATGACTGCGGCGCGGTAAACGGTCGAGAAGTCAAAACAGTTAGAAGAGAGCTAACTGCTTGCTCTCGCGTCGCATTCCTTCGACGAAAATAGACTTTTTCCACGTGCCAAATTTTGCCGATTCTACTCGAATCTTTCTCCGTACCGCCGATACATGTTTTATCGAGCGATAGATGCCGATCGAACGGTTCGACAATGCCAATCATTCGGTAAATTAGCATCGGTACGAAATCGTTCGGGTAGTCGGTCCGACCGAAACTTTAGGATTTCCAAGCTGCTCGTTACAAGTCGGTTACACAGTTTGCAGCACTGGCGTTATTTATCATTGTATACTACGCGCTTCCATCCCAAGTTCAATTAGGGATTCCAACGTAGCAAGCACACTCGGCGAAAAGCCAATATCTACGCTCGACCTAGAACCGAGCCACGCATCGATACGTCCGATTCCGAAGGGAAACCGAAACTGGACGAAACAAACTACACCGATCCGAAGGATCAAAGAAATTTCAACGATCTCGGAATGGGCGAGAAACATTCGCTTGCTGTGTTCTCGATTGTGCGGGGAGAACACGTCGTCCGACGAGAGATCGCGCGAGTACATCGACACTCGAAAATTCGAATCATGATTACGGGGGGGATACGCTACTCGTAACAGTCGTGTCTGTAAATCATAGCTATCGACCTAACGGTAGGATTGTTCGGTGGCAGGTCAGGTCAGGCGTTGAGAACGATCACTTGCGAAACGGGATGGTGTTTTCAAGCCAAGTCGAATAAGGACGAGTACAGTCGAATAAAGTCGAGGAAGATCAGGCCTGCCCTCGGATGTGGCTACCGAGATATCCTGATTCTTTCTTGCCGCATACGTATATACGGCAGAGAAAAAATACACGCGCGCGCGCGCGCGCGCGCACGCGTATATCTGCGTGTATATTCTAATATTCGTATCGGAGAAATGATTTGATTACGTAACGCGTTATTAATCCGCGTTATTACTAAAATATGTCTGTCAAAGTAATATTCTGTAAGTCGTTGCACAATGTTGGCCTGCACAGTTACGCTGCACAGCGTCGAAACTCAGTTGTTCCACTCGAAGATTCCACGAGCGTGGAACAATATTCTTTTCATCGACCGGGTAAGGGTATGCAACGAAAATATATTGTATAATACTCGTTAGGAGGGGGATAAGGTTGTTCGTAGTACGGTATTTTCGTAATGTTTAGCGAACAAATATGTTCCGACGTCAAGTGGCTTGGGAAGAGTGGAGGAGGTTGGATCGCGGCGAAAAATGCAATAGCAGTAGGGCGCATACGTGATACGCGCGACAGCAAGTACTCGAGTACCTGGGACAGAGAGGTTTGACGATGCAAACGTCGGGCCTGGAACGAGCCCGGAGTATCAATGGTATGCTGCCTAGAGAGGGCTGCATGCGGCGGAGCTACGGAACTCTGACGGAACCAAGGTAACGAGATCTTCCTGCGGGCTTTCTGGACGATAGTTGCAGGCTTTCCTGCTGGCGACGTCATGACAATTCGTCCCGTGCTTAGTTCACGTGTGAAAATACGACAGACAAATATAAATGACGAAAGACTGAATCAAGGAGGTTGCCGTACGTACGAACAACATGCTTCCGGCCTGATGCTTGTTTTTATCACGAACAGACGAAAGGAAGGAAACTCGACTTTGACGATTAATCGTTTCGCCTCACTCGCCGTCGAACGGACGACCCATTCGACCCGAGTGTCGCGCCCGTACTGAGCTTGTTACCTATCAGCCTCCTTCCCTGTCCCGCTGTCCCGTACCTTACCGCCGATCTATTTCTCACCCTCCGCCTCTTACCCCTACCGACCAACCACCACAGTTTCCTCTTCTCTTTCCTTCCTTCGTATCCTCTCGTGTCACGCGGCGCCCCGACGCGCTTGCTCACTTTTCGATTATTCCCGAACCCCACCCAAAATTGCACTTGCTCGCTGCCCGTCCGTCCGTCCGCCCGTTCGCTCGTCCGACCTAACCGCCCGTCCACCCGTCCGCCCGCTCGACCTGCCTACCTCGCTTGCCTAGTCTGCCTGTCTACCTGTCCGCCAGCCTACTTGATTCGTTTCAACTCCAAATTTTCCAAACTATCGAACCGACGGCGCGACAGAACAACCGATACTCACTGCACGCGTTAACCAGTAATGAAAGACCACTTGATCGAATAGCAATTGAACCGGAAAGGAGACAACTTTTCCTCACCATTCTACAACCATTGCTACTATCCACCTATGCTTGCGCTTGCTCGACTTCTCGACAGAATTTTCCATTATTTTCCATTATTTTCCATTATTTTCCATTATTTTCCATTACTTTCCATTACTTTCCATTATTTTCCACCGTGGTTACTGACAGGAGAAAAATACTCTGCCCGCATCTTGTAATATGTAAATGTATACACGAATTTCGTGTTAGAAATTACTGTCGAATTAGAAAGAAACTTGAAAACTGCGTAACACGATGATTCCTGTAACTCGCTTGTAAAGCAAATTTTCAAGAAGCCAACTGAACCCCACGTTCTTAGTAATCTGGCCGTTTCGAGGACACGCTGATTACTCGTTGTTCGCATTCGCCAAAGTTATCCGACATCGTGGATACACGCGATACCCGTATAGGTTCGTAAATAAATAAGGTAACGAATAAATAAATAAACAACATTGAGAATCACGTCTAAAAGCAGTTTTACGATCGAATGAAATTTGGAGAATCGCTTACCTTGTCCGAGTCCGTGGTGTTTGTGGATCCGAAAGAAGCCAAGGAATTTCTATCCAAATTCTCGACGCTGTCGTCCAGAGAAGCACACTCTTCGAGATCTCTGCTTGAACGCTGACTCGAACTCTTTTTAGCAGGACTTTTCGGCATACTCAAACTGAAATACGTTTCCTGTATAACCTCGCGTAATCTCTTCACCCATAATTGTTTGGCATCCATAGAATTGGCACGAAGAACCACGCGTGTATCGCTGGTCGGTGCTCGTCCCGTCCACACCGCGAATTTGCATTCGTCCCCCTCGATATGCTCCGTTACTCCCAATTCGGAGGTCATCAAACGGCTTTTGTAAATATACTTCACCTATGGTTGTAACCAGTAACAGATGTTATTCGTTGGTTCGCGGTCATTCGACCTCGCGTCGCAATTTTCCCTCTCGCACCTACCTTGCCAGCGGAATCTTTCACTTCTTTGCTAAACAAAAGATACAACTCGAACAGAAATATGTGCCGGTCTCTACCCTTTCTAATCAATTGCTTCGGGTCCCATACCGTGAACGAGTCTTGCAGAACTACGTCGCCAAGGGTGTCTATTCTTACGTCGCAGCCTTCCAGCATGCTCAAGTGTAAGGCATCGTTTGCTTTCTTAGGCACATTTAACATCACTTCCAGACCATCTTTTATCTCGCCCTGTCCCTCTTGGCAACAAGCCTAAGTCGAACGAATCGACGGAACAGGAAAGACGGGAGATTAAAACGAAAATAAAATCAGAGAGGGAGACCCGTCGTATGTAATCAGAATTGGGTACACATTCGCATAGACTAGAGAACAGAATGGAAACGTCAACGATCGAGGGAAATCGAGCACCAAAGACGGAAGACAATTCATTCATCGGACAATTAATAAGACGGTACAACATCTACGTACCTGAAGATCTTTCAGAAGCAGCTGGTACTTGGTAATTCTTTGTACGGGTTTGATTAGATATGCGGCAATAGGATGCTCGACGCGGTGCTTTCTTTGCAATTCCTCAAACCAGGTACCACCATGAGCAACTAGAAACTGATTACTTTCGGGCTTATTTTTACAATATGTTACGTACATGTCAAACTTCGGGGCCTAAAACGCATAGGAGAATTACTAGAAAATATTACAAGACAGAAGAACATTTCCTCTAGAGAAGGTTTCAACGTTCCATTCCTTACGATCGCCGTGAATGCTCTCTGATAGTGATCAGACGAAACGAACCCGACAAAAACACGGGGAACGTACCCAAGTAACAAAGCAATGTCCAACATCCTCCGGCATGGTCTCGTATTTTTCCAATTCACGAAGAAATATATTGCTATGAAACTGATGGATCTCTTCCATATTGCTAAAGATGATCGATTCCCGACCTTGTAATCCTGCCGGAACGTTTCCTTTACCGCATCGTGTCTCTTCCAAAAAGCAACGAATACAAGTTTCTAAATCTTTCACGTAGGTACGTTCCGTTTGGAGCAATTCAGCCATTATGAATCTATTGAATCACAACAACCAATGAAACTCGAAAGAACAGACTTAGCTATGCCCATGTTTCCAATGCTCGAAAAAAACTCACTCCTTTCGCCGTGCTGATCGTCTCTTTTCTTCGTTTAATTCCTTAAGATCTTTCCCTTTGATCTTCTCTTCGAGTAAGGGATCAGAATTACGATCGATAGACAAATCTTTCTGACCATCGTCCGATTGAATTCCTAAATCATCCTCGATTTGTGTTTTGTAGCAATCCATCCGCGTGCTGAAATCCTTGTAACGTTGATCAACTTCGGCAACAGATTGCTTGATCGCTGTCGCGTGAGCGTGACCCTTTTCGACTAAATTATCGGCAAGTTGAATCAACAGTTTTACTCTTTCCCTTGTTTCCTATAAAAGAAAAATAATATAGAGGAAAAGACGAATAGTATAGAAGAGAAGAAACGAAAAGGGAAAGAGAACCAGTAGCGTGAGAAACAACTCGACAAATTCCCCGCAACTGGATGCAAAAGAAGAATAGCATACCTTCGCAGCTCCCTTAAATTCATTGTGTTCGCGTAATAATTGTTCATTTTCGATACGATTTTTACCAACGTTAGTATGCGTGGCTAAATATAATTCGCCTGTTTCTCGAATCCACTCTAGAGCTTGTTTAGCGCTGCGCTCGAAAAGGACGTACTGATGACACTGATCTAATCGCTTTTTACGTTGCGTCCAATACTCGAGAACTCGATTCTCTTTACTGAGTAATTCGTCCAAAATATCTAAAGCAAAACAATTCAACGGAATGGATTAGATAACTTGTTGGGGATGATATATATAATAAAGTGATATATATATATATATGAT